ATATATTTATATATTTCTGTATTATCGCATTGCTCATAGCGTTAATTTCACAACTTATCAATCCAATCGGCCAATCGTTATATTTATAGCCTTAGCCACTTGCCGATTCGTCGAAGAAGAAGAATCGCACAGAAATTCGCTCGATTTCKCATTTCATATTTACTCAACCTGAATTTAACTTTCGTTTAACAAAACATTTGACATCCACGATGACAAAGCAAATTGAAAGAAACCCAATAGGGGAAGCACCTGTAGTTATATTGTGAAATTTGTGGTATATACATATGTATATATATAATGATCAATATGTGTGCATAAAATTTGTTAATACAGTTAAATATTTGGATATTATATGAGAAGAAATCTTGGAGGCAATTTAATTAATCTATTAAAAGAAGAAGATTGCATAAAAAGGCCTTTATTTAATACAAATATATAATATTATAAAATAATATGAAGAGAAGAGAGAATTCAAAATGATTTAGATGAAACGATGCGCTTTATAAGCAAGTAATAATGTTTCCGTCGGCCGTTACTGACTTCAGAATACTCATTCGAGAACCAAGCGCCGTTAGACCTCTTTTCCGATTTGCCACACGCTCGGTTGGGTATAAAATATACCATATATACTATATATATTTTTATTCAAATCAATAAAGCCGTAAAGCTATACAAAGCTGTACAAAATATAATTTTCCCCGATTTTCCACACCCCCCATATTATATGGCAATATAATTTAGACCTTATGCTGTCTTCGCAATTGTGCAAATATAGATACTCTAGCACTTAAATTAATCATGGTGAAAAATGCACTTTCCGAGTCGCCACGCCCCTAGTGGGCGAGGGTATACACGAGTATATGTTCCAAATTTCAAGTTTCTAGCTTCAATAGAAGCGAAATGGGCAGACGTACAGACGGACGGAGAGAAACGGCACATTACACAAATCCAATATACTCATTTTGGTTTCGCGAATGAGTGTTAAATTTATTTTAATAGTTCCCGTACTCAAAATATATTTTTATAGCTGCTACGCTCCAATTAAAAATTTCCGCCATAAGAATTCCAAATTATAATGAAAAATGCAAACAAGAATTTCAGTTTTTTGCAAATGGTCTTTACGTAAATAAAAAGCAAATAATGTGCCACACTTTGGGCGCACAAAGTAAACAATTAATCACGTAACCAAATACATGCAAAAAATAAACAAAACAAAAAAAAAAAAAAAAAAAAAAAAAATGGACAAAAAGGCAAAGAATTTTTAAAGACAAAAAGCAGCCATGACAACGCCAGCGGCAAGAAGAACTGTAAGGAGAAGAAGAAGAAGTAGAATATGATGAGGACGAACAACCACAATATTAATGTGACAAATGTTTATGACGCTGATATCCACTTGAATGGCGCAGACAGCGACAAGACCAAAAACTGAGCTCTGGGCTCTGGGTGGATCTGTTTGAGGCATTTGGACCGAGTTGCGGTTCCGGGCTGAAGCAACCAAAACTGACAGCATTAATTTCACTCACGTTGCGGTGGGCGTGACAACGTGTGGGTGACGGCTGCACCGGGTGCTGCAAAAGATTTCCACGCCAAATAATTTGCCTAAGTCAGCGGGCGGGCAGCAACTGTATTTTACCTGTGAAAAAAAAAAATAATAATAATATTATAAATTATTTCGTGATAATTGCCAATGCATAAATGTTTCCCAAAATAGACATTTTAATTATGGGTATTTAAAGAAGAACTCTAAGAAGTCTTATAAATATGCCTTTAGAGCAAAATGTGAGCCTCTCTAGGCGATTCACAAGAAGGAGTCTATTTTTATTATAAACAGTTATGCTTAAACAAAATTCCCGGTATATAATTTTAAGGAGCTTACCTTAGGCATCAAACAATGGATGAGCTGCTCTATACGATTCGCAAGGACTTATAAAGTTAAAAGAAAAAAAAAAAAAAAATAGAAATTGTTATGGAATATAAAACACATTGTGTATGTCTATATAATTAGCTTAGCCCTGGCATAAGACAAAACTTGAGCTTCTCTTCCAGAATTAACATAAAAATCAGATTGCGGTAAACAGATTGGCTGAATTTTAAGATAAGCAAAGAAGCTAAACTAAGGAAAGAAATATAAGAATGTTTCTATGTGAACAAATTTTATGAAATATTTTAATATATATTGTATATAAAATTATCCAACATAAATCAATTTGTGAGCATCTCTATGAAAATCAGCTCTTAAAATGAAATAAATTGAGTTTACAATAACTCTACATAAACATAAACTAAATATAAACAGAAATGAATATACAATATCTGAATATCTCCCAAGAGATATCCTTATATTTTAGGTACAAATCAAAATGTTCGCCTCTCTATGCAATTCACAAAATGCAAATGCCTTTGATAATATGGCGTTGTAATCGAGTCAGCACATTAGCTCGTAATTGAGGCCTATTTGCAAGGCATTTGCATGCTGCCTAAGGTGTGTGTGGGGCAAAGTCAAGAAATGAGGTCAAGGTCAAAACTTTGCCAAAATCAGAAATTTAAATAATAAAAAAAGGCTAAAAATGAAATCGTCTACTAATCAACTATTCTATTTTCTGCTCTTTCGCAGGCTTAGCCCAGGTGACTTACCAGATCATTGGGCCTCAGGTACAGCAACAACAAAAGGAACAAACGCAGCAGCTCTCGCTGGCAACAACAACAAGCACAACAGCAACAACAACCACAGCAGCAGCAGCAACAGCAACCACTCAGTTTGCAATCTGCCGCGCTCATCACCGGCCGCTGCGACCGCAGCCGTTACAATCGCAGCCACTGGCGGTAGCGTGGTAACTGGCCCCGGCCCCCTCCCGGCACCAGTGGCGCAGCTGCAGCACGGATTGGCGCCCAGCACGCCACTGCAGCGCGCAACGGCAGCGGGTGGCGGAGGCGCTGGTGTTGCAGGCGCCACGACCTCACCCACAGCCCCCTCACCCTCGCCAGCAGCAGTTGCCAACAATCTGCTCACTGCCAACAATCTGCTCACCCTGCAGCAACAGCAGCAGCAACTGCTCTACCAGCAGCAACATCATCCACAGCACCAGCAGCACCAGCAGCAGCAGCAGCAGCAGCAGCAGCCGCAGCTCAACTCTCATCATTCGCATCATAGCAAAACAGCGGCAGCTGCTGCCGCAACGGCGCACATTGTTTTTTTATTGCAGCGATCGGCCATTATGAACGCGGTGGCATCGCCGATTCCTGCTAACTTTTTTTCGCCGGGTCGCAAGATACGTCGCAAGACGGATACCAAAATTAATTTGGTAAGTTTTTTTGACTAAAAATAATCTGTAATATTATGTCTGCACAATAAATACCTGAACTATATTTTTTTAGCTATCAAAAAAACTAAAACTACGATGAAAACTGAATTTTTTTTATTTTATTTTTTTTTATTTATTTATTTATTTATTTTTTTTTTTTTTGTAAAAAGTTGTATATTGTATTTTTTTGCTTTACGATTAAAGCTATATTTAAAATAACTGCAAAAATGTATATTATGAATTTTTTTATTTTTTAAATTCTCGCTATAAATTCAGAAGAAAATGTTTAAAACGAGTATTTTTTTTTAATATAAGTCCTATTTAAGTCTAGGAAGCTTCAAAGCCAACTCAAAAATGTTTTTTTTTTTAAAGAAAAATCCCGTTCTCAAGTCAGTTATAATAATAATGTAATAAAATATTTTTTTTATTATTTTGTCTATTGTTATTTAGTTTCTCATTAATTTAGCAACTTTAAAATTGCTTTCAAGTTTATTAAAGCTTTATACGATGTATGTATATGATGTTTTTATTTAGCTTAAAGTCTTTGAATAGAAAATGACTGAATTACGAATTTCAGGGCATACAGTTTTATTATTCTAGCATGAAATTTACTGCAAAGCTTAATGCAGCAGCAAAGAAATATCTAGCAGACTTCAAGTATTTTTGCCCAAGTATATTCATAGTATAATAATGATTTAGCAGAAATTCAGCTGCAATATAAACGTTGTTATTATTTGAAAAAAAGTTTATTTTTTTTTTTTGAGTTTACAGTTAGGAAAGCCACTACTTATCTATCTTAAAATATCTAAAAAAATTCAGCATAACCATTTATGATTATCATCATAGGTTTTTTTTATCAGCTATATAAAGAAAGGTTTTAGTCTTGAATAATTCTACATGTAATCTACGCGCTTTTATTATTCTTTGTCTAAAATAATCGTTGCTGAAGAAACTTTTATATCAAGTACAATCGCTATACATATATATACGTATATAGACATATTGAATATAATTTTATAAATATATATAGACAGTACTTTTAAAAGAGGTTTGAATTAAAATAATTTAAGCTTTTAAACTTGTATAAATACAAAGATTAATCAAAACGTTTCCAGTTCATGTCAATAGATAAAGTTTTTGCATRAATAATTATAATAAATAATATAAACTAAATAATAATAGAATACAGCTCTTTAATCGCCTCCTAAAACTTACTTTAAACAAATTGAAATATTTGTTTTTACAGCCGCAATCACAAATAAACAAATGCAACAATGAGAAGCGACGTCGGGAAATGGAAAACAATTACATTGAGCAGCTCTCCGAGTTTCTGCAGCTCAATAAACGTGGAGATATGACATCAACGAAACCGGATAAGGCGGCAATATTAAATCAAGTGGTTCGAACGGTAAGTCAAACTCAAGAAGATGGCTTCAATTCGCAAGGTTATTATGCAAAACTAATAACGGCAGCAACAACAAAAACAACAACTTCGACAATCAATCAAAAAACTCATCAAACAAAACTAATAAGCAAAATGTTGAACAAGTTGTCGTGGAGCAAGCGACGTGAACCCTGGGCCTCTGACCGGAATAACTAATGATCAATTAGGATAGACAAATCCCCAATGTAATTTCTATGCACTTCTGTTGCTGTTGTTGTTCTTGTCTTTTGGTATTTTGGCGACACCCGCGTTTCAATTAAAAAGCAATTATTTTCAAACCGCAAAGAAGATTAAAATAATAATACGCATGAAACACGGCCACTGAGAGAGCTAGATAGAGAAAGAGGCAGAGCGACAGAGAGAGAGAGGGAGAGCAAAAACAGAGGGCAGCTATGGAGCCCATAGAGACTTTTCGACTGACGTAATTTTATTTTACTTTGTTTTTATACTCATTCACGAAAATGAAATGAGTATATTGGTTTCGTGCAATGTCTGCCTTTCCATTCGTCCTGCCGTCTGTCCGAATTGAAGCTAAAGACTATAAATACCTTCGATAAACTAAGATCAGAAAGATATGGTGGGTAAGTCTATGCCCCATGGGGGCGTGGTAAATCGGGAAAAACTGCAGTTAGAAATTCAAAAGATCGTACAATGAATTAGGCAGCGTTTGGGCCGTGAATGAGTAATCTGCAGTCGGTAATACCCGACTACAACGTTCTTATTTGTTCTTCTTTCTTTTTTGCCTTTTTGTATTTTGCTGGTCTGCAAGAGGAATTTAATTAATATTTTTATTCAATTTACATAAATTTATTTATGTTTCCATTGACAGCGATACGCGGTTCATTCTCGTCATGTTATTTTAGGCTTGTGCTTTTGCTCTCTCTCTCTCGCTCTCGCTCTCCCTGTGTATGTGTGTGTGTGTATTTCTTTTATTGGTTTCAGGTAGCCTAAGTACTTTATTATGCAAATCATAAGCGCCACGCTTTGCCGAACTTCAAAAACAAAATTCAACGAAAAAGAAAACAAAAAACAAAAAAGGCAAAAAACAACAAAGTTAAAACAAAATACATAATACATAATAATTTTATTTAATTGTGCAGCCTGTAAGCTAAGCACAAGTTAACGCAATTAATAGGAGTTAGCATATGGCTGGCTACCAATTAGGGGTATTCCCTCTACAAAGTGACAAATTAATAATATATAAATTCAGTTAAATGTCGCTCTGATGCGGAAGCTATACGAGCTAAGCTAATTTGAAATTATTAAGGTAGCCAGCTAAATAAATATTGAATTAATTTAGTTAGGCAATTATGAGCATTCATTATTTAACATAATTAAACTGAAAAGCTTTTAGTCCAATTATTTATTATAACTAGAAAATATTTACTATGTGGATGTGATGAAGTTTTAGCTTTTGATTTAAATATACATAATTAATTTAAAAGTTTTTGCTAGTGAACTAAACTAATTGATTTGAGGCTTTATTCAACTTCTTTGAGTTCTGCACATTTGCTTGAATATTTCAATTTATTTTTTATAAAACATTTACCAATGAATTGTAAAAATTGTACATTTGCTTAAATGTTTACATAAAATATGTTTATTATAAAATATTTACCAAGTAGTATACTATACATCTTGTGGTTTTATCTAAAGTTTGAGTACTTTAATTGTAACTCAAGCTCTAAATATTTACTTAAATAATTCACATGAAATCTTAAGCTTTAACCTTCACATATATTGCCAGCGAAAGCTTTTACACTCCGCTTACAACTATTCGGAAAGCCATTGCATATTCTGAGCTACTTCTACGCCGACCTCTAGTCTCAGTTGCGTTTCTGTTTTGTTCGCCTATTTCGCCCGACAGTGGCTTAAGTTCGGCTCAGTAGCGCATGGAGAGCTGAAAGCGCTGCTTGCGCCCGGGCTTAGTCAGTTAAATTGTCGCTGCTGTCACTCAGCGAGCCATTTTCACTCAGCTGCTAGCCGAGAGTGAGTGAGAACGTAAGGGCGTGAGTGCGTGTGCGTGTGCGTGAGTGAGTAAAAGTGGGTGAGTGTAAGTGTGAGGCTCAATTCAATTCCATATTATTTTTTGGCAACTTTAGTGTGTTAACTGCGTTCCACCTAGAACTTGCTAGAAAACATTGTGATAGAACTTATAGCTATAGCACTTAAAAGTGAGCTATCAATTATTATTATTATTTTTTAAGAATMATTTCTGCAAGTTTATCATTTGAGCACAGTTGGATGTTCATTAATTTTGGATTGCTGGCGACACTTCCCTCATCCATCCACTATTTTATTTGTATTGTGAAAACGAGACGCTCTCATTGTTTTGCCATACGCAGATGGTATTTACCCCTTTTATTGTGTTGGGATCTGTTTCAGCTTTTGGCTTGCTTTCGGTTGCTGTGTTCGTCTGCTTTGCTTTGCATCTGCGTTTTTTTTCCAAAGCTCTCTCAAAATTCGCACATTACCTGATGCGATCAATTGAAGCTACAGGCCAAAGCCCGCAAAAAAAAAGAAAAAAGAAAAAAACACGCACACTCGTGCATATAAAGAACAAAAAGTCCAGACACGTTTTAGACATATTCGTCATTGCATGCCCCGGTTTGTGTTGTTCTTGTTGTTGTTTATTTTATCATTTGACTGATATTTTCGGAGTGCCTTCACCCCGAAAAAAAAAAAGAATATTTTATGTGCCCGTTGGTTGAGCAACTTTTCCTGGTTGGCTGGCTCACATACACACACACACACAGACAAATACACACACAGGCGTATACAATTGTACTCACTGACACAGATGTAAGCTTCCTTCCAAACAAAAAGAAGTAAAAGCTCGCTCTGCGCTCTGAGCTCTGCGCGATTGCACTGGCAGATCAACGAACTGCGTTTGTTTTTTGGCGATGACGTCGCACTTCGCAATTTCATATTTGTTGTTGTTATTGTTTATTTGTGTGCAACAGTAAGAGCAGCTAAAATAGCAACAAGAACAAAAATAATAATAACAATAGCAGCAGTAGCAACAGTAAGCAGCAGTGGCAGCGTCAGCGCCAGCTTCTTCGCCGCCCTCTCACACAAGGTGCAAAGGCAATGGGTGATAACAAAACACACACGCACACGCTCACACACATAGCGGCACACAGCCACTGTCATACAAACACATTTACGCATTCGTACGTATCACACGTGAGCCGGTAAACAAATGTCTGGAGAGCAACAACAGCAGCAGCAGCAACAACAAGAACAACAGCAGCAGCGCACACAGCGTGAGAGCGTCAGATAGAGAGCAGCGCTTCGTCAGCTTTTGCCTTCTTTGTTGTAGTATTCGTATATTTTTGCCGTGTTTTCGGGTTTCTGCTTCTTCTTTTTCTCTTTTTATTTTTTTAAAAATACAATAATACAATTGCATCAAAAAATGTGTGTTTAGTATTTCGGCAACTTTGTGACAGTGCTGAGTGTGCGCAACGTTTCTGTGATTTTTAATTGTTTTTGCTTCTCTCGTACACATTTCTGATAGTGAGTAATTCGGCACTAAATCTAAACTACTTTATTTACACGCACATGTAAATATGTATGTAAATGCAATACAATAAAAGTGAGTGAGTGAGTGAGTGGATAGAGCCATTGACATGCGTCGTTCAAGTTGATTGACCTTGAGTGTGCTGTGAAAATTGTGAAATTTCAATGCGTTCGAACTGCGTCTTAAGACTTTTCAAAGCAAACAATAACAACAACATATTATTGCGCTTTTTTTTTGAGTTCTCTTGTTGACTTTTGTTGTGATTATGCTGTGCTTGCATTCGCGCATGTGTATGTGCGTATCTGTGTGTGAGTGTGTCGCCTGTGTCAATGACTCAAAGCTCAAACGCGCGCGCAAAAATTTGCGTGGCGGAGTAAAAATATAATACACACACACACACACATGCATATCTATGAGCACACACTTGCACAGTGAAGAAATGAGATGAAATGCGGTTTATTGCATTTTTTTTTGTAAACACGCTGAGAGCGCGCGACGCCGACGCACGATGACCAATACGAGCTTTTTTTTCGCTCTCCTTTTCAACTACTCGTGCCAGAAAGCTTTGCGCAAACAAAAACAACAGCAAGTGATGGAATTGCTGTTGATCGCGAAGCAGGCTATAATAATTATTTTGAGTGTTTTTTTTTTTTGTTATTGTGCTGTTGTTCCGTTGTGTGTTTGGTGTTTTTTTGTTGCGTTTTTTCGTTTCTGCTGTAGTACATAAAATAAGCTTTGTCGAAAATACTTCCGCATGGTAAACATTTAATTTGAAAATAGAGTTGCAGGCGCGCTGAGTGAGTTTGAATAAAAAAAAATTATTAATTAAAAAATATCTTTCAAAGAGATATTGTTTGCTACATATAAATCTGAAAAAATATATCAAATATACTAGGAATATATTAATACAAATTTAATTAAACACTTTTTTATACAAATATATGAAAAAGCATTAACCATTTAAATAAATATTATAATATAAATTATTTTAAGATAACTTGAAATATTATTGGTGAAATATAAATTCATAACTTATGATCGATATTTAAAAATTTAAATTTAAAAGCAAACCATTTAAGAACAGGTTTAATTCAAATGGTTTTCTCTTATCATAATTTACAGTATCGTGATATTTGTGACAAAGGCCAAAGCCGTGATATATCCTCAACATCTACCAATAATAACAACAACAACTCCACAACAACGACCAACAACAATAACAATAATAATAACAATAACAATAATAATACTAATAACAACAACAACAACAATAGCCACAAACCACAAGCAACCTCAACGCGCTGCACACGCTGCGCCACCGATAACTGCTCGATACACCCTGTGCAACAGGGCGAAGTCTCATCAACAGAGCCACCATTGCCAGAGCCATCGCTGCTGAACGGTCAAGTGCCTGAAATATCCGCTTACTTTGAAGCGCTCGAGCATTACATTAGCTCCGTCGGCTGGGTGCTGCTGCAGGTGAACGCTAACGGCATCATTGAGTCCTGCACGCAGAACATACGCGAACTGATCGGCTATGAGAAGCAGGAGCTCTTCCACCAGCCTCTCTACCGATACCTCTATGCGGGGGATCACGCCAAACTGGAGCCGATCATAAACAACATGTACAGCAGCAGCGGGGGGGGCGGAGGAGGCGGAGGTGGAGGTGGAGGTGGAGGAGGCGGTGGCGGTGGCGGGGGGGGGGGCACTGGAGCCGGCTCAATTGGCGGCTGGGGTGATCTCGATGAGCTGAACAGGGGGGGTGCGTCACAGCAATCGGCTGGTTCCAATTCCAGTTCCAGTGCTGGCAACGGCGCTGGCACGGGACCAGGCGCCAACATCGGTGGAGCATCCAAATCGAAGCGCAGCATCTCCACCAAGGTGCGCATGCTAGTCAAGGATACACGACCGGCCACACAGACCTCCTCCAACTGCGATGCCATGGACCAGAAGCCGCTCAGGCCTTCCGGACACCAGGACAAGTATGAAGAGGTCGTATTGATAGCGGCGCCAGTGAAGGGTGAGTCCTTGAGAGCTATGGCAAGTCTAGGGGGGGGGATTGCTTAAATGCAGAATGATTTTGAAGAAAAAAAAAATCAGTAATATTAGAGGGGGGGTATAAAGAGGTAATAAAATAGAAGGGTAAATATTCCAGTAATTAATAATAATTAATGGGTATAAAAAAATCTCTTTTCCAATATTTACTTTAGTCATATAAAAAGATATATGGAGCAGGGAAAGCACAATTTGTAAGAGATAAATCAAATGAAAGGTTAGGTAAAATGAATGGGGAAAAGTGAGAAAAGTATTTAGAAAAGCTTATAAACGAATAAAACATATAAAAGAATCATACGGAATACATAGAAATCGATTTGCCGCGACAAAAAAAATTATTATATTATTAAATTATGTAGGAAAAAGCGATTAAGCACAAACCTTTCCAAAAAAAATCATATATATCAACATAATTAATTAATTAATGAATTATTAGGGATACAAAGAAAAAAAGATAATATGGAATATCTTCTACTTTTCTGAAATATAAATGAGGATAACTGAGAAAAWAATAAGAAATTATTCAATTCAACAGCAAATCTATTTATGACTTTAGCCAAATAAATAAAAAATTTTTTTGTGTAGATGCAGAGATAAAGATAATAGAATACAACTAGCTCTACTTTCTGTCAGTATGTTTATATATGATATAGTTATTAAAATAATACAAAATTGCTCAAAGAACTGAGTTCTATAATTTATGCAAAAAAGACAGATTGAAAGACAGACCCAAAACATATAAGAAACAAACAATTAAATAAACTCATATGAAATATAGGAAATATTGAAATAGAGTATACTCAGACTATTCGATCTTATGAGTTTTAAAGTGCAGTAAACTAGGGATAAGGAAAGAAGAAGTTCAAAAAGTAGTTGAAATTATGTCAATAAAATGATCTTCAATGCATTTCAGTTAAAGCAATACTCAAAACTAGGCTATGGTTCGTTTCATAGATCAGACTTGGACAATTGAACTAAACCTGTTGCATTTGCAGATGACGCCGATGCGAGCAGCTCAGTGCTGTGCCTGATCACCAGGCCGGAGGACGAGTCGCCGCTGGAGATCAATATGCAGCAGCATGTGCATCAGCAGCCCATCGAGCAGATGACCTTCAAGCTGGACGGGCATGGGAAAATACTCAGCCTGGACGCGACGGCGCTGCGTGAGCCATTCAAGCAGCATCTGCAGTCGTGGGTGGGTCGCCTCTGGCAGGATCTATGCCATCCGCACGATCTATCGACGCTCAAGTCGCATTTGCGCGATATTCAAGACTCGACGGCGGTGCGTTCGCCGGGCAGCTCGGTGGGTGGTCCCGCCAGCGGTGGCTCCATATCGAATGTTATATCACGTCCATTTCGGCTGCGCCTCGGTGCCCCTGATGTCTATGTGCATGTGAAGGCCAATTCGAGACTGTTTCTCAATCAGACGCCGGGCGAGAGTGATTTCATAATGTCCGTGCAGACGCTGCTCAATTCGGAGAACGATATGAATAGCAATAATACGGGAGTGGGCGGCAGTGGTGGCATCGGTGGTGCTGGTGGTGCTGGTGTTGGTTTAGGTCTGAGTCAAATGTGCGCCATGTCGCCGGGCGCCTCGCTGGCCAGTTCGCTGGTGAATACGCTCTCGATGGAAGCGCTGGGGCATAGCTCCTCCACATCCTCGGCGGCGTCTGCGCTGTTGCCCACGAATCTGTTGGGCGGCCTTGTTGGCGGTGGACAGCACAACAACAACAACAGCGGCAGCAGCAACAACAACAACAACAACAACGGCAGCAGCAGCAACAACAATGGCAGCAACACACAAACCACAAATGTGGGCGGACCGCTCATGACCTCGGCCATCATCAATGGCAGCGGCATGCAGCAGCGTCTGAGCAATGCCAGCGGCTCCTCGGCCAACTATTCGGCGGCAATGTTGGTGAATGCGATCACCGCATCGCCAGCGCCCGGGGAGCATTTGTTTTATGGCAGCGATGCGTTTGAGTTTGATATTGCACATTCCTCGTTCGACATGGATCCCAGCGGTGGGGTGGGCGGCTGGTCCGATTCGCGTCCCAATTCGCGGGCATCTGTTGCGACGCCCGTGAGTACGCCGCGTCCGCCCTCGGGGCATGGCTTCAGTCCGGCCGTATGCGCCTCGCCAGCGACGCCCTACCAATTGTCGTCCCATTCGGCAGCCAGTTTGCCCTCGCCGCAATCGAATGCAAGCGCCGGGGCCGGCGGCAGTTACGGTTCCAATTTTCACTCCTACGATCCGGCGGACACCAAGCCGGACAAAAAAAAACAGCAGCAGCAGCAGCAGCAGCAGCAGCAACAACAGCAAGGCAGCAGCAACAAAAAAAACAGCAACAGCAACAACAATGCGCTCATAGGCGGCGGTCTGCCGAATGGCGTAAAAAAAATGCTGCTCAGCCAACAGCAACAGCAGCAGCAGCAGCAGCAACAACAGCAACAAAAAAAACAGCAGCAACAAACACTTCCGCAGGAATCATCGGAGCGACTGCGTCATCTGAAAAAAAAATCAGCCAGTGGTCTGGGCGGCGGTGGCCTTGGGGATGATGAAAAGGTGAGTCCTTCATCCGTTATTCATTGACTATTCAATAATTCAATTCACATTCAATCATTGAGGCAAAAAAAACTCATACATATATATACATATTGCACATATTGATTTGTCAATTTTTAATGAAACACCTGTTAGTTACTATCAATCAATCTATATGAATATTAAGGGAAGACTGAAAAAAGAAAAAAAACTAATATCCTAAATTTATATCTGATACTTAAAAACCATATTCTAAGCAATGAAAATTAGCGAAAATTTTATAAATCCTAACATACTTCCAATTCGAGATATTATCAGGTCTATAAAAATTTGTAAAGAGACTCTAAAATGCTAAACTGAGTTCTTGTGATCCTTGGTTGCTATTCTTCTTCTTAGCTACTTATATTTTTATGCGAATTTTACAAAACTTATATTAAAAGTAATATTTACACTAAAAATATTCCTGAGATCCTTTAAGTTCCTATCTCTTTTTTTGGTTTCTAAAAAGTAAAAACGCAGTCAAAAGGAGGCGTGGAGGTTCTTTGTATTTATAATAATATTTTATTCATTCAATATATATAATTTTTTTTTAATTTAATATCTGTTATTATTTGTTTACGATACAGTAAAAATTCTCAAGCTTTCGCTTTAAATAATAAGAAAAGTCTTTAGATTGAGTTCCATTTGATTTGCTTTCTCTTGCTATTTGCCTTTAAGACTATAAAGTTCTTATGAACTAGGTTTTCTTGAACAATGCCTATAGATATTTTATGAACTAGTTCCGCTAGCTATATGAGCAGCTGATTTATAAGGATATATTAATATAGCTAGTAATTGTTTTCACTTAATAAACTAGTTTAAATTGAGCTTAGACATGAAATCATTTGTTATGCTTAGTGGTAGTTGAAAAATTCCTAGTTCCAAAAAGCTGAACAAATGCTACCGTTCAATGACTCAATTTATCCCAAACTAGCTTTTGACATAGAAACATAAGATTCTACGTAATCAATCTAAATGAATCAACAGTTCAGTGAGCTAGTTCACTAAGCCATATCATTGAATGCTTGATGAAACTATATTAATCAAATCAATTGTCTCTACGGGTTTACGTTACAGTACTTTAAGCAGGAGTGCGGCGAGGATGATAAGCTGAATCTGGGGCCAATTGGTGGTCCGGCGGGCAGCTACAAAATGGGTGGCCAGGCGAGTCAGCTGGGCATGTTTGGCTCGCTGGGCCGTGTTGGCCCGAACGCATCGTTGCTGCAGAAGGCGGGCAACTCCCAGAATCCGATGCTGCTCAAGGTGAGTGCCGAAATGTTGCAAATTCCTGAATTTATAACATGATTGCTAATTGCTGTCTCTGGTTGCAGCTGTTGAACGAGAAGAGCGAAGAGGACGATGGCAGCAGTGGCACGGGTAGTTCCGGTGGCTCCGGCGTACTGAACAATGCGCGGCAAAGCGAACTGATGCGTCAGCTGCAGAAGGACGATGGCGGCAGCCATGGCAGCGGGCATGGCATGCTCGGCGGCAGCGGCGCCGGCGGTAGCGGCAATATGAGCAACGAGGATCTCAAACGCATGCTCAAAATCCAAAGTGATCCGGCGATGAGCCGCAAGCGTTCGCTGAACGAGCCCGACGACGACATCTCGGCCAAGCGTTCCGAGGACAAGCCCAGCAAGCTGTGCAGCCAAAACAAAATGCTCGCGAAATTGCTGCAGAATCCGCCAAAGTTGCCCAAGGCACCGAATCCGGAGCAGCCGTTGGTGAAAACGTTGCCGGATATCACTAGCTCCACGGTGAACAATGTGAGCAGCTCGCTCGCTGCGCCGGGCAATTTGATAAGCGCAGGCAGTGCGGGTCCTAAGGCAGCAGCGGCCAATAGTCGTGTGCGCAAACAGCAGCAGCAGCAGCTACAGCAGCAACAACAACATCAGCAGCAGCAGCAGCAGCAACAACACCACCTACAACATCAGCAGCAACAGTCAACACCACAGCAAAACGATGTCTACCTCAGCCAGCAGCAGCAGCAGCAGCAGCAACTGGCATACCAGCAGCAGCAGCAGCAGCAACAGCAACAACAGCAACAGCAACTGCAGCAGCAGCTGGCGACCACAGCAACTACCTCAATACCCGATCCGGAGCTTTCCAAGCTGCTGGACAGCGTTATGGACGCCATGGACGATATGGACGATAGGCCCATTGTGCCTGCGGCTCCCTCAGAGGCTTCGGCTATCAGCGATATACAAAAGTCACTGATGCTCGATGTGGAAATAGCCAACTTTGGCGTGATGAACAAGCATTTGCTCATGTCGCAGCAGCAACAACAACATTTGCAGCAACAACAGCAGCAACAGCAACAGCAGCAGCAGCAGCAACAACAGCAGCAACGTCAGCAGCATTTGCAGCCGCCTGCCTATCCCAGCATGTTGGTGCTGCATCAACAGCAGCAGCAACAACAGCAGCAGCAGCAACAGCAACACCAGCCACAGCAGCAGTCCCAGCAACAGCAACAGCAGCATTTAATGCGCCAGCAACAGCTGTTGGAGACTATGCGCAATCAGGGCTTCCAACGTCCGCCGCCCATGTACTCGGTGCGCGGTCGCGGGCCCATGAATGCGGTGGCCACGCCCGGGGGCGGTGTTGTGCTGCCCAATCAGCAGATGCGCAACATGCGCCAGCAGCAGCAAAAGGAGCGACTGYTGCAGCAGCAGCAGAACCAACAGCTGCTGGTGCCCGAAAATGCCAGTGAGTAAAATTAATTATAAATAT